GAACTACCCCCCCCCCCCCCCCCCCCCCCCCCCCCCCCCCCCCCCCCCCCCCCCCCCCCCCCCCCCCCCCCCCCCCCCCCCCCCCCCCCCCCCCCCCCCCCCCCCCCCCCCCCCCCCCCCCCCCCCCCCCCCCCCCCCCCCCCCCCCCCCCCCCCCTATTTTCTCCCACGTACCTTCTCTAATGAATTTGCCTCATTCCGCTTCTCTCTTCTTCGACCAAACTGTGCCTCATGCCACTTCTCCTCAAACTTTTCTCGACTGCTTTCCATTTCTTCAATGCCATCCGCATTCGAACCACCTTCTAAGTGGCGAAACGGTTCCGCAGCTCCACGTTAAATGCTGCAGCAACTACAGGATTCTTCAGTCTTTCTACGTCAAAAGCTCGGGCGGTGACAGTCTTTCTCTGGCGCTTTAGCTTAATTTTGACTGCGGCTCTCACCAAGTAATGGTCTGAGCCATTACTCTGACTGGCTGGCCACATATTGCGCATGCCACAACATCGAATCCCAAGAGTGGCCATGTTCTGGATTCCTCCAGGAGCCAAGCGAGCACGAGGCCGTCCCAGAAACACGTGGAGACGTACATTCGAAAATGACTTGCGAATCATGAATGCTTCTAGGGACCAGGCCGAGGAAATCGCGCAAGACCGACAACAGTGGAAAGAATTCGTCGCCCGATGTGCTCAACAGCACGGGAGGAACTAACTAAAGTGAGCAGCGAGTTCTTACTGAAGTATAAGCAAATGTTTTCAATATTCCTTTGCAATGCGGCCATGTAAACACCACTTTCGTCATGTCATGCTGTTCCTCCACCTCTTTCAGTCTTAATGAATCTTGCTTACGTGTGCTGAAGATTTAAAGGGAGACCGCTGTCGAACTATCTACTGTTGGTTCAGCAAGTTCAGCAAGTTCAAAAAGGGTGACTTCTCTATCAAAGATGAGGACAACAACGTCCAGTGACATTCGCTTTGACTTGCGACGGAACCATGTGGAGGAGGACCCATTTAAAACTATCCGTCCACTGTCGACCACCCTTGATATTTACCATCAACCTGGATTGAAATCGACGGCAAGGCTCGAAAAAAGCTGTGGAAAGCTGGAATGTGCGATATCACAATGACTATCAAATGGCATATGGACTAGAGAAGACAGAGGAAAAAAGAAGATCGACGTATCCAAGAAACTAGGTTCAAGTTGTCCATAAACCGTGGATGACAAGTGCTTACCATTAGCAGCATACGTGTATGGTGCTCGTGTCCAGATGATGTTGAAACACCCTTGGGCGATATCCCAGTCTAATCAAGGCGTAGAATTTGCTCATGTGCGATAAGCGCATCGCACCACCACGAACGTCTTGTCCGCTCTAAAACCGTTTGCGAGATGCGGATAACAATGTTAGTCCCTTAACGTGTCACCAGCATTTTGAACAATGTCGTAATTAATCAAAGTTCCATGGGAATATGCAATTCTTTCCCAATTAGTGGTACTGGTGTGTGGCAGAATCAGCGCTGTATCTCGATGTTACCCATTCCGAGACGGTTAACCTTGCGCTATACTGGACAAATTCAAGAGTAAGAACGATAGAATAGACTGCACATATTCGGGGAAAAAACATAGTGGTTGCAGATGCCTAGTTAAGAAACGACTGATAGCCTGTAAAACACTAGTTGATCGTCGTAAAGAACGAAGAGAGAAGGTCATGTTCGCTATATTTGAACTACTCTCTAAACTGGTGCAATCTCCTGCACCATCACGCTACCTTGTGAGTTAGACGTCTTGGGAGGCGAAACACAAGTAAAATATGAATCAAAGAAATATTGGAACTATAAAAGCCCTCTTGTAACCCGACAACATATACCAAATTAGCCAACAAACCTGATTAACCTGAATAAGCCGTAGCCGCCTTTTGTTGACTCATGCTTTGCAAAAGCAGAGACAAGATGTCTGCACCCATCGCGATTCTCCCTTTAAGGTGCTTCGCTCATTCTTTGTTGTGCGGTGATCTTTGTTCGGTTAATTTTGCCGTATATATTGTTTGCCGTTCAATATGCACACGAAAAGATATGAAACACAGCAAAGTGTGCTAGTAATTAGCGTGCGCCGGTGAAAGTTCTTCATCCTTTTTGAACTCAAAATACTTGCCCACATTACCTGAAAGAGGGCGGTGATATTCCATACTGTGAGCAATGGTACGCGACAAGAGGAATACTCTTTTCACAAAGGTAACAATTGCTTGAGCCTCCTACATCTCTTTCTGCCTGCCCCAATACTTGGACACAAGAATGTAATCCCGGTACCATCGGGCCACAGACCCTCGAGAGCTCCCTGCCCACACTCTTTACCTCTACCACTCGACGAGCATGAAAGCTAGCCACTTTCCCGTGAATGAGCATGCATAGGGACTAAGGCCTCCATTATCGGCCGACCTTTCAGCGGCCGCTAGCCGCTTCGGGATCTCTATTTTGCAAGCACGAACCAGCAACGTTTGTCCATGTAACCTTCTAAACTTGCGGGAAGCCTGCGGCTAGTGAAACCACTCGGATGGAACAAGGCGCTGCCCCTTCCACGCGCCAGTCTCTACATCAAAGCAGCTAGAATGAATGCGAACTGAAGCGAATCACGCCAATCAGACGGCAAAATTTTCTGTTCCTTACAGCTCTGGCGTTCAAATGCCTAACCAGCTGCAACCCACTCCTTCAAAAACGCTTCCAACCAAACCTTATTCAATAGAGGTGGGTTTCTCTCCCCTTTCAAAGGTGCAGCCTGAACATTGCACCACCTAACTGCTTGTTGTCTCTCGAACTCAACCGTTACATGGACAAGAAAAGCTTGACGACCCGAACCCAAGTCGAAATCGAGATGACTCCATGTTAAGATGCGCCAGCCTGCATTGTGAAGCAATGACAACCATATGATGCTCAAAAACTGGGAAGACTCCGACAATAACAATGCTGCATATTTTTGATCTTATACTCTCTCTGCAAAAAGGAAGCCTAATTTCAAAAAAAATATGACAGAACTCCCCCTACCTAATGGAAGAACAACAGTTTCAAAAAGGCAGAGTGATTTAACAACTTCAGGTAAAAGAGAGTGAATAAGAGTAGGAAGCAAGTAGTTGTGTGCAGTTCCTGGTGAAGCACTTAAATGTAAAAAAAAAGGATCAAAGAAAAATGGTGGTCGCACCTGCGGATGTCTGCCTAACCGATTCGTGATGCAGTTGGCAGTGTAAACGGAAAGAATCACTACTGCTACCATACCACAAGCTAGTCCCATTGCCCAATGCGGGATCGAGGTATTCATCTGAACTCCGGTGACTTCATGACAATCTTTCAATTGATATTAACATGTTTGACACTTACATCAGTCCATTCGGCTTCGATCAAACGATTGGCGTGTCGGATAGCGGCCTGAAGGGCGACGAGCACCGGCTCACGCGATGAGACCGACGTGGGATGGCTGTACCGTTGAAGACGTTCCAGTGAATTTCTGAAACGAGTTCCGGGCTCTTCAATGCGAAGTTAAAGAATGCAGTGGCTGTGTATGGGCCACAAGGAAGTTATTGATTTTATTGTTTGGTTTTGTTTGGAAGAAAGCTGCAGCTCAGTAAAAACAACATCAGTGACAAGACAAGCTTCTAAGTTCGACCTTCTATAGATCTTGGCATCCTGTGAGGTCAGCCAAAACCAGACGTGTATTTTACGTGAGTCACACTGTGGTTGTGATCGACGATAAGTTTCTGGACGCCTCTTGTCTGTGCCTACGGTTCTAAAGTTTGAAATGATATATTCGGGAGTAATTAAGATTCATGCCCGATCTCCCAGGCTCTGTCGAAGACGTTAGGGCTGAAAGGTGTATAAAAATCACTGTATCATCTTGGTTCCAGCCTCAGCAGTACACCGGAGAGCAACATCAAGATGCTGCTTAAAAAGGATGGAAATAGTTATCTATTTTTTTTAAAAAAGGGGTTTTCCAGAGAGACCTGAGCCGCAGTGCACCTGTTCCGTAAGCTTTTACTGCTATCTAAACCACCCTCAACGGCTTTCTTTCGAAGTGCCAAAACGACTTGCAAGCACAGCTCTAGCTTCCAACAATATCGTCCCACACCTGTGCTAATCACTAGTTTCCTTTATGAAAAGTTACGTGACAAGCAATACTAAGGAGGTCCACTGTGAGGAACGCGCATTCGTGGAACTCGATGACAGGCAAAAATTACTGGAAAATATGTTGAGTTCAAACTTGCCTGCTCTTGAAATCCAGGATGGACTTTAGCTTTGGTCATTTTCATTCATTACATCTTAACAAAGACCGCCAGTTTATCTTTTTGAGAGCGCATTCCGCACTGGTTTTGCTCGACGATTTTGCCTTGCGACAAGGCCTGGACAGATCTCACGCAGGTAATCCTCTCCCAGCTGTAACATCGGTGTGCATGTTGAAGGCATATTCTATTGACATATGAAAGGCAGATTCCATAAATGGCTGAGCGTAGTTTTCTTTGGGAGCAACGGACTAATCCCGCTCAAGGAGACTGCGCCGATTACGCGACTCAGTGCAGAGAAACAAAGGTCTCTGGGGGTCTTGTTCCGCTGACCTTTGCCCGCTCAGCAAGTTGCAAGTTGTGTATGAGTGAGTTGGAGCGAATAGCGTGCGTATCGCTGGGATGACAACTTCCTTGTCGCAGCCTAGAGGAAGACTCTCCGAAACGCATTCTTATGATGTTCGAGATTTTCTACAATCCAGAGGGGAAGCAGAAAGTTCACACAAATACCACCGTCGCCGGGGTGTACCACAGGACATCCGAGTCTGGACATCACACGCAAGCAGAAGTGCATACCTTACCCAGTTCACTTGACATGCGTCACTGTTGCAACCTTGCGCCAACTGTACCCTAGTGTGAACGGCGCTCACATCTCACCTTTGCAATCTCTTTATCACCGCCTTTGCCGCAATTTAGAATCTGCTGAATTACATTCAGCCTTGCTCGCTGTGGATGCTAGGGCGCGTCTGGGGAGCTGAGTCTGACGCGCCGCAAGCCGTTCTCCACCAGCTGTTGACGCGGGTAAGAAACAGTAACTGGTGTGAATTGCGCTGACGCCGTGCCAATTTCAGCTCTGATGAGCTCACTTGAAAAGTGCGTGCCACGGAGGAAATCCAGACAAACATCCTCGACCATGCTTACGTGGTTCTTTCGGTAGTATCCCACCCGCTATAGTCTCTTGATCTCACTCCACTACTAATTAGACTACCAGTTGATTCGCTCGCTGCTCATCCTAAGTTACGATGAAAATATCCCATTTCAGGGATAAAGTACCCTTATCATTCATGAAATATAGAGGTGGAAGAAAAATGCATGTACAGTGTAGATCTATGCAAAATTGGAGCGCAGCCAGACACCGCATATCAGAGACGTGAAGTTATCCTGATGATCCGTGGCCTACATATGACTCAACAAAAATCTGCCTTGACCTGACAGCATCCAACTCCGTCCTGCACCTGCTGTCATTTGGGTAAAGACGAAGCAAAACACAAAGACGCAAACGGCTAGTAAAACAGTTAAGCATAGGAAGTACGCAGAAGTTGCACACTGAAGCAAACTCAACACAGAATAAAATCCAATGAAGACGTGATCCGAAATACGAAAAATCTCCAGTGACTCCCACCCAAAGAAAAATATGCCACAGCTTAAAAGTAAGAGAAGGACCAGGATTTAAGTGACTGAGAAAGCAGTACAGAGGAAAACGCACGAATATAACTGGAAACCAATGACACAGTTTCCGATATCGGTCTGGCGCTTTCCACGGATCGGATGTAGATATCATGAGATCAGCTGTACAATGAGTAGACCAGTGTCGGCTGAGAAGCTGTGCGAACAGATAAGCCGCAGCAGGAAGGGAAGTCGGAGGAGCAAAGTCCAACGATGAATCGCGACGAGATTATGCCTGAAAGATGTTGTTTGATGAAAGTAGACACTCCTTCGCACTGTAGTTCTCAGGCGTGAACAGGCAGTTATGGCAAAATCGAGCAATAGCTCAACTTTCTCATAGTGTAGTATTGTCGTGATAAGCGGCGAGTCGATAGATCTGCTTCTTCTTCTTCCTTCGTTTCTTTATTTTGGACTCTGACTCCTACGAAGATTAGCCTGTAATGGATGGCGTAGGAAGAGAGAGAGAGAGAGAGAGAGAGAGAGAGAAAGAGAGAGGCATATGCTTTGTTTCAACTGGACCCTAGCCTGCAACTTTGTGCAATTTTTTGTGGAAAAGGCGTGGATATTATATTTGTGATCAGGGCATCGAACAACGCTGTTATTCAAGTGTTCATCGATTTTGATGGAAAAGTCCATAGCGTCAAATGGCAAATATTAGGTTAGGTTGTACCAGAAGTTCGTGACATTTTCGAAAATTTTTTGAGTCAAGTTTATTTCAGTGAGAAGCAATTTTGATATATTACCTTCACTTGTTCCCAACCATCAAGCGAAGAGTGGTTGCCTTGCTTCCAGAAGCTTTTTAGTTCCGTGCCGAGAAAGGCAGCCGGGTCATTTTGAGGTGCTTTTGAAAATCGTATTTTTCACCCAGAAGGTGGCTACTGAGGGATTAGTTCAGATGCAGTCAGAAAGAGCTAAGTCAGGGCTACACGAAGACCGTGGTGGAATTCACCAGCTAAGTGGTGGAATTCACCTTCAAGTTCTCGAGCAGTTTCATTTTTGAAATGTGTGACCCTGAGCTGTGGTGGAGTAGGCAAACATTGCTGGGTTGTGGGACCAAATGATGGGGATTTTCATCCTCCCTCTGCAGTTGATTACAGGAGGATTCGCTGGTTACCACAGCATGGAGAGGAAGAAACTCCCTGCGGTAAACCCCATGAATGGTTGACCACACGCACAGCATCACCTTCCTACTGTATTGATGGGATTGCACGACCGGTTCTGCCCTTCCTGGAGGATCTAGCCACTGGCGCTTCCGGGAGTGGTTCACCCAGAGACACCTACTCCTTATCCAGTCACAGTCGTTGTTCAACCAGTCTGTATGGCGGGAGCGGGAGAGAAGTTGTAGACAGTACCCACATGCCCTTCCCCTTGAGTATCGGTCAACTCATGAGAAAACTTTTGACCGAACTTCAATACTTTCTTGAGGGAGTGAGGACCTATAACATGTGCTTCTAGAACAGTCAAGTGTAAGGACTAGATAGCGAGTTGATTCGTACGTACGAATTGTTGTTAAACGCATTAGATCTAAATCAAGACAGATTTTCCTCCTGGAGAGGTTTGTCTCCCAGGTAGAAGTCACTCATCGGGCCATTTTAACGCCGGATATGGGAGGTAATATCTGGATCTGACTTGGAGCAATTGCGCGCGAGCCGTGTGTAGGGACAACTGGAATCACTCCTTTCTGCGCATCAGATGTGTGTTTTTCTCTGCTCTTTCCCGTGGTTACTGTGACTTTGCACATTCCAGCTTTTCACCTGTGATAAGTGGCTCACCTACCCTCCTCTTGAAAAAGATCGTTTCCTGGCCCGCCATAGTCTTCTTTGCACGTCTTGAAGCTTTAGCAGGTGCTGTCCTCTTCTGGCTCGCGTTTTGTGCGTGCTATAGGAACAGCGCACAACAGTTCAAGATTTCGATGTGGCACAAACAGGTTTGCGACTTGGGGAAAAATCATACATATAGAGAATGTGAGAAATTATAATTTCATCTTTCGTTTTGGATACTACAATAGCGACGGCGAAGCGGGACTGTTAAAGATGTGCGGCTCCTTTACCACTTCCCAGAGACCACAATAACTAATCCGACAAATAGCTGACGGCAAAGACTTGGATGTATAAAAATGTCACGAAACTTTGGACACCTTGATAAAAAGGTTAATATCATGATCTGGTGCTGGCCGAACAACTTCGATACTGAACTTTCAGCGAATATTTCTTCTAGTGTTGCGAGCTAATTATGAAAGCAGCGCTAGAGATTTCTCAGTTCTGGACGGTGCGCTTAATCGAAGCACACCGTCCAGAACTGAGACTGCACATTTTCAAAAAAGTCACCTGTTAATGCTAGCTGAGGGCACAATGACAATGCCGAGCTTCTTTCGGCCTCGTCCGCATTTTGACGAGCAAAAACACGACGTCATGTTTAGCTGGCGTACAGTGTGATCCAACATTTCCACTTCGGTTCGAGACAGAACTCCGGCTGGATCGCAAATGTACGTTGTCTGAATGAATAAAACCACGGTCTCAAAGTGTAATGAGGTGGCAAAATTGTTGGAACAGCAAGCATTCTATTGGGAACCATCATCAAGGTGTATGTTTTCGGTTCGTTCCCGTTTCATTCATAAAATGACAAAGGAGCGGATCTCAGTGTGGCAGGCGAAACGTTTGTGATTTCGAAGATCTGAGCCCGCATTCAAATTTGATGAGTTATGCGGCTCAAATACTTATAACAAGGTAGCAAGTAACCCCTCAGTAAAGAAAAATCAGAAAGAAATCATAGGAAAGGCTCTATATAGAACCCCTTGCTTAACTGAGGTTGTACGTGCTCAAGGCGAAGAGAAGGTGCGGTCGCACGAGTTCTCACTTGTTGATATCAGCTGTTTTTATCACCTCACTCTCACCACTCGACGTGGAGAGAAGCAGCAGCGAAACAACCGCACCATCAGGTAACCATTAGAAATGAATGGTGGGCGGTGCCAATGATTGTAGGTTGGGTCAATGATAAGAACGACGGCATCGTGGCTCTCCTCACGCGTTTTGCGCCGCGAAAGTGGTGTAGTTGTTGCCTCAGCGGACCTGACTACCTGCTCACGAAGGGAGAGGAAAATCTCAACTGAACGCGGACGCTGCCTTTCAAATGGAAAAAAAAGCCTATTGTATTGAATATGATCCATTTCTACATTGTAAGGTCATGGTTTTCAACTGTCGTTTTTGATTTCGCGTGGGACCAGCCCGTTCTCCACCGAATGGTGAAGCGGGCAATGAGTACAACTGGTGAAAAACGGGCTGGCGTTCTCCACCAGTTGTTGTCTTTGCCCACGCTGACGTAGCGCCAAACCCAGCGCCTACCCCTTCCTCCTGGCGCGCCCTAACTCGGAAGCTAAAACTGCATGCCTTTCCTATCTCTGGTCCGACTCATTTATCAGAAGAGAGCTGTATATTGTTCGGCAACCAGCTGATAGCTCTTCATTGCAGGCTAGGACTTTATGAACATCTCCAGACAATTTTAAGAATAATCCTGCGATATTGGTGGGTATTGAGGTGATAACGCTTCTTCAGCACAGAACTCATTGTCACCCAATAATGAGAGAT